CAAACGTGAACATGTTTTCATAGACTTGTCATATATTTCACAGACACACGTTATATGTCTGTGAGCGGTAAAATTTTCAAGTCTTCGGCAACACCAGAACTTCCCCATGAACATCCCCATCGGACACCATAGTACGAGGTGTGGTAGGCCCATGGTCCACCCCTACATCAGATTGGCATCGGGTTGAGGCGATTCACTAATAGGGTAGCAAGGGTTGTGTCAATTCCTGCCTCAGGTGCCGATTCAGAGGACATCCTGCACACATGATTCCTTCAGAGCACCGCCATTGGCGGAGTTGCGGCAGCCGGCAGTAGTGGAAGCTTGTATATATTATACAGTTTGGAAGGGTGCCAGGGCTCCTTGATGATTTTGCTTCCGACTCGCATGAGACACTAAAATCCACGGAGAAGAGTAAATCCGTGTCCTGGTATTCCAAGTTCACGCGAGCGGAAGCTAGGGCTTCATGAACTTAGACGGCTTCCATGACATGCTTGTCTTTTGCCCAACCTGCGCAGCCAAGGCATGCCACATGCAGGGAGCGGAAACGAAAGTCCTTTTCAGTGGCGAGTCAACTGCCCAGGCAGATTACAAGGCACCACCGCCAGATGTGGTGAAACTGGCCATGGAAGGCGGCCAGCCACCGACGAGGCTTCCCATAGGTCCCAGTGCAAGGTTCGAGGGGCAGTCGAGAACTCACTGTGATTACCAGCCTCCACCTTTGGAGGCCTTTCGTGCCACATCCGCACTGCCTACTCTTCTCTGCCCAGACATGCAGCCTAGCATCCCGTTCGTGGGGCAGTCCTCGATGCATGCTGACTATGCAGCACCTCCACTGGCTCCAACGACTCCATTTTCTGCGCCTGTCCCTTGCCGGCAGTCCAGCGCACAGGACATCATCCATCCTCAGCCTAGCCAGAAATCAGTGTCAACTGCGCACCACGATTACAAAGCCCCAGGCCTCGAGCAGTTGCGGCAGGCCCTGGTGCAAAGTAGTATCGAGGCGCCGCAAATTCCTGTGCCTCGCGCGAAGTTCGAAGGAGAATCCTGCACACACAGGGATTTTCAGGCCCCTCCTAGTGTCATTCCAGAATCCCGAGCACCTCTAGGCGATGCCATACCTGCTGTGCGGGAGCTGTTGCAGCCCACGGCTGGCACGCTGAACGAATCTACAACGCACCATGACTACCGAGCCCCTCCACTCGGATCATGGTACCCAGACTTGTCATCAACTCTTGACGAAACACTCCCGCTGCCACGGACACGCTTCCAAGGCGAGTCAACTGCCCAGGCAGATTACAAGGCACCACCGCCAGATGTGGTGAAACTGGCCATGGAAGGTGGCCAGCCACCGACGAGGCTTGCCATAGGTGACCCCAGTGCAAGGTTCGAGGGGCAGTCGAAGACTCACTGCGATTACCAGCCTCCACCTTTGGAAGCACTTATGCTAAGCCTAAAAGCGGAAGACACTGCCATGGTTCAGGAAGAAGTCAAGTTTTCTTCCCCGCCTGGTGGAGCCTTCGAGGGGGTGTCGACCAGTCACCATGACTTTTTGCAGCCACCAAAGGAAGCATATCCCAAAAATCCAAGCAGACGAGCCAGCAAGCTCGATGGCGAGAATGCGGCACCTTTGCAGAATTTGTGGGAGTGGCTTCATAGTGCCGAGGTAACCAGTGCCTCACCCAACGAGTCGTCCATGCGAGCAGATTACAAAGCACCTCCGCCGCCGCCTGCGGCGCCTACGCAAACCCAGGTCAAGGGCGGGCGAGAGACTCAAGAAAGCGAGCATGCTGTACACTTCGAGGCCACATCGTCTATGCGGGCTCACTACCCGCCACCACCAGCAGAAGCACTCAGCATTGCTCCCGCAGACGCTCGTTCTCGTCAAGGTGATCTGCAAGACGGCTTTGTTTTGGCTACGTCCACGAAGTTCGAAGGCGAGTCTACTGCGCACAGAGACTTCGTAAAGCATCCGGTTGAAGCATTGCCAGATTTGTGCCCGACATCGCTCGACTGCAGAAGTGTGGCGCAGAATCCCCCGTTCCAAGGTGAGTCGTCTATGCGGGCTCACTACCCAGCACCGCCACCTGATGCATTCAGAATTGCTACAGCGGATGCCCGGTGTCGTCAAGATGATCTGCAGCATAGCTCTGTTCAAGCGGCATCGTTTGAAGGTGAGTCCACAGCACATAGAGACTTCCAAAAGCATCCTGTTCCGGTAGAGGAGTTGCCCGACATGAGCCAAATATCTCGCGACGGCAACAGCGAGCCACGCTATCTTCCATTCGAAGGTGGGTCGTCCATGCGGGCTCACTATCCAGCACCCCCACCTGATGCGTTCAGAGTGGCTACGGCGGACGCGCGGTCTCGTCGGGATGACATGATGCAGAGCACCGTTCAAGCTGCAAAGTTTGAGGGCGAGTCCACGGCACACAGAGACTTCCAACATCATCCGGTTGAAGCGTTGCCGGAGTGCACGACATCGCTCGACAGCAGAAGCATGGCGCACACTCTTCCTTTCGAGGGCGAGTCGTCCATGCAGTCACACTACAAGGCACCGCCACAGGATGCGTTCAAGGTTGCTCCTGTAGACGCTCGGTCTCGTCAGGGTGATCTGCAGCATAGTTCGGCGCAAGCTGCAAAGTTCGAGGGCGAGTCCACGGCACACAGAGACTTTCAGGTGCATCCTGTGCAGGCTTTGCCAGAGCTGCCGCCGGACAGAAGCGTCGTGCGCACTCTTCCGTTCGAGGGCGAGTCGTCCATGCGGTCACACTACAAAGCACCACCACAGGATGCGTTCAAGGTTGCTCCTGCAGACGCTCGGTCTCGTCAAGGAGATCTACAGCATAGTTCTGCTCAAGCTGCACAGTTCGCAGGCGAATCCACGGCACACAGAGATTTCCAAGCACATCCTGTGCAGGCTTTGCCAGAGCTGCCGCCGGACAGAAGCGTCGTGCACACTCTTCCGTTCGAGGGCGGGTCGTCCATGCAGTCACACTACAAGGCACCACCACAGGATGCGTTCAAGGTTGCTCCTGCAGACGCTCGGTCTCGTCAAGGAGACCTGCAGCATAGTTCTGCTCAAGCTGCACAGTTCGAAGGCGAATCCACGGCACACAGAGATTTCCAAGCACATCCTGTGCAGGCTTTGCCAGAGCTGCCGCCGGACAGAAGCGTCGTGCACACTCTTCCGTTCGAGGGCGAGTCGTCCATGCGGTCACACTACAAGGCACCACCACAGGATGCGTTCAAGGTTGCTCCTGCAGACGCTCGGTCTCGTCAAGGAGATCTGCAGCATAGTTCTGCTCAAGCTGCNNCAGAGATTTCCAAGCACATCCTGTGCGGGCTGTTCTAGAGTTGCCGCTGGACAGAAGCGTGGTGCACACTCTTCCGTTCCAGGGCGAGTCGTCCATGCAGTCACACTACAAAGCACCACCACAGGACGCTTTGAAGGTTGCTCTCGCAGACGTTCATCAAGGTGATCTGCAGCAAAGTTCTGCTCAAGCTGCAAAGTTCGAGGGCGAATCCACGGCACACAGAGATTTCCAAGCACATCCTGTGCAGGCTGTGCTAGAGTTGCCGCTGGACAGAAGCGTGGTGCACACTCTTCCGTTCGAGGGCGAGTCGTCCATGCAGTCACACTACAAAGCACCACCACTGGATGCGTTCAAGGTTGCTCCTGCAGACGCTCGGTCTCGTCAAGGAGATCTGCGCCATAGTTCTGCTCAAGCTGCACAGTTCGAAGGCGAATCCACGGCACACAGAGATTTCCAAGCACATCCTGTGCCGGTGTGGCAAGAGGCACGGCACGAAAGCAGTAACATGCAATGTCATCTTCCCTTCGAGGGCAAGTCGTCCATGCGAGCTCACTACCAAGCACCGCCACCAGATGCTTTCAATTTTGCTCCAGTGGACGCTCGGTCGCGTCAAGGCGAAATGCAGCACGGCCTTGTTGAAGCTGCGAAGTTTGAGGGCGAGTCCACTGCGCACAGAGATTTCCAAGCACCTCCCGCGCAGGCTTTGAAACACTTCCCTCCACTCGACAGCCGGGGTGTGCCATGCAACCTGCCCTTGGATGGCATGTCTTCTATGCGGGCTCACTACCAAGCACCGCCACGCTCGGCCTTCCTGTTGCAGACACAGCACATTGCGACGCCAGCGCGACAGGCCTCAAGATCCCAGGGCTCCATTACTGCACGTTCCGATTCCCAAGCACAGGGGGAGCCAGGCCAGCAACTTGGACAAGGACAAGTGGCAGCGGAGGCCAACCTGGTCTGCCCGGCTCCGTCACCCGAAACACTCCCATCGTGGCGACAGCCCGCTGCCGGGAGGGGCAGCGGCATCCTGCATCGCCCAAATTCGGACGGTGAGCGAGGCAATGCGTCGTCCGGCGGAGCTCGCCAGAGTGGGAGATGCGAGCAAGAACCTTCCGTGCTGGCTTACCAAGAGGCTCATGCAGGTGCACTCAAGGATGGCACCCAGGACAGGCCAAATCAAACGGACACAGGGTTGCAACTTGTAGGAGGCCAGGAAGAGCCTAGTGCCAGGACGCATCAAAGTTTCAAGGTGCCATCTCTAGACCGGTTGCGAGCGATTCTTCAGGAAGCTGAGGCATGCTGCACGGAGACTGGGCGGGAGGACCATGAGGCTCCTGGCACAGGGCTCCAGGCAACACAGAAGCCCGACAGATCCAGATATTCACCTGGTCCTGGCTGTCCACCAGATCTGCGCAGACCGGCGGGGTGTAGCAGCTCGGAGATTGCACGGAGTTTGTCCCAGGACAGAGGGAGGGTACGCCTGTTTGAGCCTCAGCTTCAGCAGGCTGAAGCACCGACAACAGGTAGCTTGCAGGCGCCTGAAGCTCGGGCTGAGCACCAGCGAGTTGGGCCTCGCCCCTGCGACGACCGGCCAGCAGAGGCGGCAGTCGAGGCGACACGGCGACACGAGGGGTGAGAGACGTGCGAGAGCATAAGTTTCAGATCTCTTCCTGCATGTGCCCAGAGGCCGCCTTCTCCCTCGCCGACAGTGCGCGGCGAGAAGCTTCACGGCCGTGCCCGTTTCAGACCCAGGGATCGCCGATCATGGCCCAGCAAGCTAGAATACTTTTGCGAGATCTTGCGAGCAATGCTGTGCTACTGTTCATGCCTTTGTGGTGAGTCCCTGCTTTCCCAGGCCAGTCTTCGTGCAGCAGCCTCTTCCAGGCACATGTTTCTGTTGCGTCACATGTACTCGTAGTAGCTTAGTAGCTCCGGGTTGGATCTGGCAACAGGTCGACTGCAAGATCGATCCCCAGACGCTGCAAATGCAAAACCCGCTAGAGTCGCTTGAAACCAGATCCTACTGTACGCTTGGAAGTTCTTTCCTTCAGGGCGTGAGAGTCACAGAGTCATAGCGGGCCTCCTTAGTCCTGGATGCCCTGAGCACTTTGGAAACCCGTTGCGATGCCCCGAAACACTTCAACATACAGCAGCTCCTCTTGCAGATTGTGAGCGCGATGTCCCCGCTGATCTTTCTGCGTACATTCCTCTTTACCAGACTTTCTTATTAGCCTGAACTCGTCATCAGTCGCTGCAGTCTTCATCGGCCTGCCCACCCCCGCCCAAAGGCCCCGTACTCACAATGGCGCAAGCTCGTGAGACGTCGCCCCGACCATCGAAAAACAGGGGATATCGGATAGCCGCACTCGCGGCCGATCCCAGCAAGAAAAAGTGATGCTCTCTCGATGAGCAAGACTGTCTCACGTTGCTCAGGCCCCACAGGGCCCGAGCCCAGAAGGGATGCGGGCGCGGTGGGGTCTTTGAATCCCGCGGATCAGAAGTAAAGAAGAGCGAGGAAGACAACTACTGTTACCACGACCACGACCAGAAGAATTGTTCAAAAAAGAAAAAGGACAGCAGCAGCAGCACCTCACCAGCACCACCACCAACAACACTACCCCACCCCCCCGCCCCACCGCCACCGCGACCACGATCACAACGACAACTACTACAGCAACCACAACAGCGACAAGAGCGACACCGTCCACGATCTACAACACTTGCGCTCACACCAGCCAGGAACAGCTCTCACCATGTCGTGTCGGAAAGCCCCACTTGCTGGCGATGCACAGGGATTCAACACGTTAAGTGTAGGAAAGGTCGGGCGTTGGGCAAGAACGCCGGAAACCCGCTCCGAAAGGTGTGCGCTCTGCCAGCCAGCCGTGTCGAAAGCGCCCCAGCGAGGCACCGCGAGGCTCGCGAATGCACTTTGTGGGAGACCTTACCAAACAGTTGCAAGCGGCTCGAAGGATGGGCCCAGTCTGTTCCAGTCCTGTTGCAGTGGGGCATACTGGCCGTTGACCTTGAACAGCAATGCAGGGATTGGCCCGCCGTGCAAGATTGGCAAGTATGATATGTGCGTATTTAGGAACTTTGTCCGTCTGATTGGGCTGGGTTGATTTTTGACAGCTTTGCATTCGGCATTCGCATCGGCTGAGTCTGCCAGGTCCTTCAACCTTCAGGCTGCATGGCTGGTGCAAGACTCGTCATGGCGGTTGCACTTCCCAATCACGGGTCTAGGCGGTTTAGGTTGCTGCGAAACTCATTCTCACATACATCGCCGCGACTTCCACAGGGGTGCAAGCTCGCCGTCTCGAAGTGCCTACAGCCGTCGCGTCAGTGCCTGAAGCTCCTGGACGCTGGAGACTGGCAGGAGTAAAGCGAGTACATGCCCATGCATTCCACGAGGTCCACGTGCTGCGGACACCGCCCAGGTTGGCATTGCTTGCCATCGTTCCTGCAATGCAATACACGGTATCGGGACTCTGAACAAGTGTGCAGTGCCGTAGACCGGAGCATGTAGTTCCTTCCCCCTGAGTTGCCTTCTGATCGCCCTAAACCTCGCCTGACCTGCTCGAGCGCGAGTGCTAAAAAGTTCTCCGGCAAGGCATTTGATGAGGGCACAGGCCTTGGCGCAGCCACATGTATCGGAGTACTGGTTCAGTCGACTTCTGTTCGGCAACCTTCTGTTCACTGTTCAAGGACGAGACAGAGACGCTTGCAGAAGACGGCCGCCGACGTCTCTCAATGGCTCGGGGCCAAGAGAGCAAGGCGATGTTGAGCCGCTGCGAACACAAGGGAGCGGCTGGTGGTTTAGGTATGTTTAGGTTTAGGTCAAGTTTAGCTTGTGGTCCAGAGTCCAGCCTTTTGAAGAGTGTCCCGCAGCCGCAGAGGCAGAGAGCCTGGAGCCGGAGCAGCCTGCTGGGCTGCCCTCCAGGTTGGGAGAAGCCGAGAGATCCGGAGAGTAAGACCGAAGGGCTTTGTCACGAAGATGAAAAGGTGAGACGGGTGGGTTTCGATTGAAAAGCATTGACAAAGCCGCACCGAGTCACCAGCAAAATCTAAAATCCACGATGCTGTAGCACAAGGCGCATATGATGCATGCTTTGGCCGAGTGCCTTGATCGGAAGTGTTCATGCCAGGTATGCCAGACCTGATGGTGTGTGCTGCTCAGAAACTCAGCGCGAAGCAGTCAGCACAAGCCACAGGTTCGGCAATCCAACATGTTTGCTTGCTTGGATTTGCAAAGACACACACACACACACATACACACCAGACAGGATATACGATCGTGCACACGTGCGCATGTGAATTGCATGTATGTATGTGTGTATGTATGTATTTATGTTTGTATTTGTATTTGTATGTGTATGTGTATGTGTATATGCATGCATGCATGCATGTCTGTATGTACGTATGTCTGTGTGTATGTATGTTTTTATGTCTGTAGGATGTCTGTATGTATGTATGTCTGTATGTATGTAGGTCCTACCTATGTATGTGGAACGGGTGTCATTTTTTTGCTGTTGCTGATTTTTTCTTTTTGTTGTGCAAGCCCCGGCGAAC